CCTCCCCCCTCCTCCCTCCCTGGAGCCCAGTGTCCTCGCTGACACACTCATTCCCTTCTCCAATCGATGTGGGACCCCTCAATTCACCCCCTTCATTTAGAATTGTAGTGACACATGTTGTCGTCATCAGTGCAGCTAAATAAGTTCTTCTGCAACAAAATGTCAAAACTAGAAAATACCTATTGATAATGCTATTACTACTGCTATTACTGACATTTTCCAACAACTTCACGAAACAATGGACCAGACTTCCAGTATAAACAGGACAAACTAACAAGAAATCACCATTTAGCACACAAAATCATAGGTGAAGCATGTTCAGAACAAGCCCAAAAAGCCAACAACCACTGAAACAAAAACGATAAAAAAAAAACAAAAAAAGTAGAAAATACGGTTCGATGCATCTCTTAGAACATCAATTTCGAAATTCAACCAAACCCAGTGCCCGAATCACCGTTGATTATATAAACGAAACCGATCAATTTAACCAATCAAACCAACAAAAAAGACTACGCGAGAAGCAGGAATCAATACAACGAGGGTTATCATAATTACTCAGTTCCTTTCTGGCGAAGAATGCGAAACTGCTCAGGAGAGAGTATAACCCGCCACTCTTCCTCCGATTTCTGAACCGAAGTTGGTGCTGAAGGGGCAGCCATGAAACTGTTTACAAGAATTGCGGCCGTCGATCGGGATGCTCCGTCTCCTTCCTCGGGCGATGGACGAGCAACAACTAGTCAGTGAGACGGTGAATAATGAAGTGGCTTGATCTTAAAGAGAGAACTTTCTCGCGGGGAAACCGAGGTCGGATTTTTTTCTCTCTTATTTTCCTTACTTCCATCTATGGAGGTGGTACTTCCATCAAAGGAGGTGGTCTCCTTGGTCCTCCGGAGTTAAGGTTGGATTGAGAGATTTATTTTTACTTGTTAAACAAATTTTAAGTTTTATTTATAACCATTTATGTTATATAGAATATATACATTTTTTAATAATAAAAAAATATTAAGGATACATGATGAAATTAAATAAATAAATAAAAATGATTAGTTTAAAGGTATTGAAATTAAATAAATAATAAAAATAATTAGTTTAAATATATGGTATACCACAAAAATAAAAAATATATAAATATATTTTAATTGAAATATGTTTATTTATTTCGTATAATTCTAAATTATGAGAAAAATAATAAAATATATTAATGGTAATAATACTGAACAAATAGATAATAAATACATTGAATATAGATATATTCCACTTAAGTTAAATGCATATATATAAATAATAATTAATAAACCTTTGTATTATATAATAAATAATATATTTAAATTAAATGTAGGTATAAAATCATAACTAATAAACCTTCCTATTATATATATATTTTGTAATTAACTTTTGTATTATATAATATATAATATATTTAAATTAAATGTATGTATAAAATCATAACTAATAAACCTATATATTATTTATAAATGTGTTTCACATTTAAAATGAGACGAAATATTAAGGTATTTTAAATCTATATATATATATATATAAAAGAAATTAAACAAATAAATTAAAGATAATAAAATAATAAAATGATATAAAAGAAATTAAACAAAATAAAGAAACATGTATTCATAATCCTAACTAATAAACCTTTGTATTTTATATATTTTATTTGGTTCGGGTCAATTCGAGATTTTACCAATGAACCCAAAATTCGAACGATTTCTTTTGGATTCAGAAAAATAAACCCAACTCTATCCAAAATGTTAATCCAACCCAACTCAACTCTTATAGTTCGGGTTGGATTGGTCCGGGTTGTCAGGTTGTCGGGTTGAGTGCACCCTACTTCCACCTACTTAAATATATTTTTTTAAATTAATATTTTCAAGTTAATTTTTATTAAAATTTAATAAATATAACAATAATATATATATGTATTTTTTAAAATTTTAAAATCGACCATTCTAGTCTAGCATTTTATTTTAGCTTATGAATGGACAACATGAAGATAAAAGAGATCAAAATCGAATATTTTTTAAATATCGAGAACTTGATTAGTCAATTCCAAAACTTCAAAACTAATTTCAACATACGAAGATTTTCTGTCCTCTATTGTACTATCTGAGCTATATCGGTCATTTCTGACACATTATCTTTATTTATTTTCATAGCATATTTGAACAGGTAACAGAAAGATTTTGAGTCCTCTGCTCTACTAACTGAACTATATCGACCATTTCATTTCTTACACATTATCCTTATTGTCAATAACATATTTGAATCGGTGATACAAAGATTTTGAGTGAGTTCCGTTTGTAAACTCTCTTTCGGACCTTGTTTACTGTGTTTGAATAATGAACAATAACAATAACTGATGGTAATATCGATGAAGGAGTTCAAGCAAGAAGGTGAAGGAGAATGAATGTTTCATTTGAGAATAAAGAGTGAAATCCGTCGCATTCATCGAGAGTCTGTCTCCCTTCTTTCAAACAAACACGGTAAACTCGGATAGTCAAAGGTTCTAAAGAGAAAGAATCTTTAGTTTGCTCATATAGAAAAATTACTTTCCATGCTTTCCATTTATGTTTGGTCACTTAAAACGCTCTCCTTTCTAACTAGTGTCGTTTCATAACGATTTTGTTAAAGTTGATTGAATCGTAGGTTTGTTCTCATTACTGTATCACTTTTTTTTTTTAATATATTTAAATTATTAGTAAAGTTTTAAAAAAGTTTTTTATTTTTTAATTATTTATTTATTTATTTTATTTTTATTTTCAAAGCTTGTTTTCAAATCATGGTAGATGGTAGATAAAAAAATAAGAAGGAAGTAACATTTATAAATTTAATTTAAAAAAAAATTAAATACAATTTTTAGTTTATAAATTTTTAATATTAAATTTATATATACGTTATTTACTTTTTTTTTTGTTTTTAATTAAAATTAGTTTGAAATTTAAATGGTTTTATAAAACTTGTTTATCATTTATTTATTTATTTAGAGTAATAGTTCAAATGTTAATAATCGCAAATAAATAAATAAATAAATTTTAATTTTTTTTTCTGCAATCATTTCTTCTTTTATCCTTCGCACCCTCCGGCCGAGGCTGCCGCCGCCGCCATCGTGAGCATTGGAGCTCAACTATCTCTCTATCAGTTCTCTGACTAGCGAAAGAAAAAAGAAATTGAAACTAAAATTTGTCTACATAGCTGCCGAGGACCGAGAGCTTCGTCTAGAAGAAGCAATGCCGGCTTCCGATTCAAGTTCTTGATGAGACTTGCGATATCAAGGTTCTACTTCTACTTCTACTAGTCTTCCTTCTCCAAAATTTTCAGTTATATTTGTCCCTATCTGTTTCTCAAGAAAACATTTCTGTAAACTTTGCACTTGTTTAATTTTCTTTGCCGCTTTCTTTTGACGATAATCAGGTGTATACGAGGCAGTAGCATTAATAACATCCTTACCTTCCACATTGGCAACAACGCCACGACAGTCCTCTATTACCGCCGTCGGATTTCGCTCTTTCACCGGTACTGCATTTTGATTGCGATTTCTCTTTCGTTCTCTAAGCCCTAGGTTACGATTACGACGCTCGTAATGTTCCTTAAATTCAGCAAAATTGGATTAGCATCAGAAATCTAAGGGAATTAATTTCCCTTGTTATCTTCTTCACTCTCTGATGAATATTTTGACTGCTTGATATCCAAAATCTTCCTGCTGGCTTTAGATTTTAGACGAGGGTTCATTAATCTTTCTATGTCGAATTTTGAGTTGCTGACGTCAGCCAATGGTATGGTTCAGACTTCAGTAGTATTTCAGAAGTGTTATATGAATCTGTAATTATTTACTTAAATTTAATCACTAATCTACGGCTTCCTCCTCAGGTCCAATCTACACCAAGAGAAAACTCATCATCGGGATCGGGAACGAGCTGAAGCTTTCTACTACTTCTCGTCGGCGAGGGAAACCCGAGATTGGACCGATACCCTAGAGTCCCAGAAGGAGGAGGAGAATAAATATGTCGTATCAGGGTTTCGGCAAGGCTTCAGGACCAAGCGCACCGCCGAAACTGCAACATTCTTTCGGAAATTCAGCAATTCCTGATTCAGTTTCTCCTCTACGCGCTTCTAGGTTATATTTTACTTCTTCCATTCGTATATTTTACTGAGCTGCTTTGCTTCCAAGGCCATATTACTGTTCTGTTGAGGGAAGATTTTGGCTTTGTCCTTCTAACGAACCTTCTCCCACCCTCTTTTGTGCTCTGCTGCAATAATATATTTTTGTTTGTCATAATTTGCATTATAGTCAACATGAGGCATTCGGCAGTAGAGTTCAATCACATTCTATGGCTTTTCAAACCCCTGGTACTGCTTCAAGTCTTCATCATCAATACTATAGGTAAGAATGACTACGAATCTATAGCCCTTTTCTTTTTGAAAAAAAGATATACATGTAAAATGACTGCAAAGCCACACTTCAAGTTGCATTTGTGAAGTCTCTATTCGTTGTCAACTTTGGCCTTGTGATGTGAGAAGGATGCAATGCAGGACAATGATAGGTTAATCATGACTAATGGCACTGATGAGCAGTTGAGCATTGGTCAAATTGACTATCCAACGAAGATAATTTCTACGAAAAAGCACATCATAAACATATAATGACAATATTCCAATCTCACCATCCATTATTTGAGTTCCAAAACAACAATAATATAATTCATTCAATCATTCTTTTTTATTAGCACCCGTGGCTAGAAACTTGATAGAACGTAGCTCCTTGGCTCTCTTGGTTGGTTCATTATTACCTTTCGATTTTTGGTTCCCTTCCTATAATGATGTTATGTTTCCTATAAAAAGGGCTTTTGGTTGGAATTTAATTTCATTATTGAATTCTTTATATTCATTATATTTCATACGGGAACTATTATTTGCCTTAATGAAGCTATCTTTTGTTGGTAGGCCTGTTTCATCTTCCCCTATATTTGAGGAACAGCCAAAGGTGCGAGGAATGCTTCCAAACTCACAAGCTTATCAAGACCAAGCCCTTTCAGAAAGATCTCATGATCATGATACAAATATTCAAGCACCAAAAAGAACCGAATCTCCTGAGAAACCATTTGTGAGTAATCTTCGGTCTGCACAGACTAATTTGTTAAGGTATGTTTGTTCAATGTCAGAACATTAAAAAGAGTTTGAGGGGTTGTTTGCAAACTGTTCTCTAAACCGTCTTATGTTATTCAGAGAAAAAATTCTGTATAAATGTTTTTGGATAATTGCTTTTTAAAAGTTGTTGTTCCCTCTTTTTATGGATTTTAATGAGCTACTTCAAACAAGAAATCAAAACGATAATTTGATGATTTTTTTATCATGAATGATTGTTGGCTTATTCTAGAATAAGACTTCAAATAGTATAGTTAATAACATAATTGGTTATGATATTAATTTTTACTTTAAAATCAAGTTAATTTATCAAAGTAAAAATATAAGAATTAATAAAATACAATGAAATTACTCAGTGAAAAGTTTGTTTATCAACGAAAAGTTAAATTATAATCAATGAAAACTTTGTTTATTGTTAAAAAAATAAAATACAATGAAGTTACTCTCAGTCGAGCACACCTCGGTAATGATGCTATTAATGTTTTAAGGCTGAATTAGAAAAGATATATTACATGTGAACTTTTTTTTATTGAAATGTTTTTTTAAAAGGAATTATGTACACGTTCTCCATCATTCTTGCTTCACCTTTTAATTAACTAAAAACTAAAGATATATAATATGTATATATGTATTTTTACGTTGCTTGCCAGGCCTTCTACCTCTCCTCCTAGACCATTTTCTTGGTCAAATACTCAAGAAGCTGCGGGCTCCATGAGGAATATTAATACTGAATCCGTAGTTACTGAGCCCACTGGTGTCCTGGTTTCCAAAAGAACAAAATCGCCTACTTTATCATCATCAGATCAAGTCTCTGGTGGCAATTCTGATCCTACTCCTGATGACACTGAACGGTAAATTTTTAACTGACCTTGTCCCAATATTCGGTAACTTGTGTTCTTCACTTTCAGTTTTTTTGCAATACTGTTTAAATATTTTTCTCTTGTTAGAGAAAGGTTAGCCAAGGCAAAGAGACTTGCGCGCTTTAAGGTGGAATTAGTTGAAGTTGCACATAGCAAATTGGGTAGTGTGGATGCAAGGGATAATTCAAATAGAAATGAACATTCAACAACAGAAAGGGACAAATGCATGTCAAATCAATCTTTGGAGTCATCAACAAATTTGGCTCAAGGGAATTCTATGCCTGATTATGAAGCTTTGGAATCTTCAAGCATAATAATTGGACTCTGCCCAGATATGTGTCCAGGTATTTTGCTAAACGTGATGGTGTGGTCAATTCAAATATATTTCCTTGAGATTTTGTCTTGCTTCAGGCAATGTTTTGAAAATGCAAGACACCCACGGTAAAAGGCAGGCTTGCTTGGAGATGAGAGGCATATAAATAATATCGTAGTGATGTAAGGTACATAATATAACAGAAGAAATCTAGCTTTTCATTATAAAATGTAATAGAAAAACTAATAGTTGTATATAGCAAGAATAAGAATCAAGAATACAATACAACGTAAAAGGAGATGTATAATTAAGCATGAACTAGTTTAAATTTGGTGAAGTTCGCTGATATGCCCTTAAGACGACGACCTTTCTTCACATTAAAGAAAAATGTGATATGATGGTCACAAGGTATGATAATGCTCGTTATATAAATGTTAAACACAATTAGTGCCCTTGTCTTGTCTATTGGTGTGGGAGATCACTCTGGGGAGATTGAAAACCTTGGTTACACGTCCTCATTTTGGAAATTGAAATTTAAATATATTGCAGTCTTCTCATGAAGAGGAAACCTGAACTTAATATGTTTTTGATGATGTTGGATGTGGCCGTGAGGGAAGTTTTAAATGTACATACTTTTTGTCATGTGAAAGAAGGTGTTAACGTGGTTTGGTATAAGATTGACCAACAAGGAATTTTGTAATCTTAAAGAAGTAACTTTGAATTCATATATTGAAAAAATTATTTTCTAATTGGGTCCAAGACTCGATGTTATTATTACTGTTATTGTTAGTAAAATAGGACGCAATTTTACTTTCTTATGCAGAGTCAGAGAGGGCTGAGCGAGAAAGGAAAGGTGATCTCGACCATTATGAGAGGTTGGATGGGGATAGAAACCAAACTAGCAAATTGCTTGCAGTTAAGAAGGTATTCTTCTCGGTTCCTTTCACAAATGAAATACTCCATAAATTTCTTGATTTGTCAGGATAATGACAAATTTCTCAATTGTTTTGCAGTATACCAGAACAGCTGAGCGGGAAGCTAATCTTATAAGGCCTATGCCAGTTTTGCTGAAAACAATCAAATATTTGCTTGAGTTGTTAAGTCAACCTTATGGTGAAAAGTTTTTAGGCATATATAACTTTTTATGGGATAGGATGCGAGCAATTCGCATGGATCTGAGAATGCAACATCTTTTTAATGAAAATGCCATTACGATGCTGGAACAAATGGTATGTTCTCTATGTAGTATCTTGTTTTGTTTACCTTACAATAGCCTTGCTAAATTGAAATATAATATTTATTTATTTTTGTTTTGGCAAAAATGAGTCTTCTCATTGATTTGGTGAAGAGAAGTATACAAAATTTATAGCCGCCCTCCCAATATGAGTTTTGAAAAAAGAACCTCATATGGAATAAATTTCAGCGAGAATGTAATTACAAAACCACTTAAAAATGATAACCTAGTGGACTATGCAAAATTTATAAGCTGCAAGTGTCTTCCTATTGCGTTTTGTTTTCATTGAAAATTTAGGATTTCTTTTTTATTTAAACAGTTTCAACGGGGCTGGTTAGTTGGTGTGGTGTCCCATGTGTAGGAGAGGTCCTGAAAGTCTACACCACTTGCTCCATTTTTTCCCCAGTACTACTGCCCTCTAGTCCGAAATTTTGTTTGCATTCAATTTGTTTGTGTCGGTTCATCTGCTAATTCCTTGGCTTATTTGATGTTTTTTGCCTTAAGTTTTGTGCAATAGGTAATACTTGTACCGTAAAATTTATTTTATTTTATTTTATTGGTGGATCATTGTGTTAGAGACTAACCGGAAGATAAAGAGAAGTCCTTTGATTATCTATGGGATGATATGGTGTTCTTTTTGTCTTTTTGTCTTTTCGACTCTTTTGTTATTTGTTATTATTCGCTTTCAATTTTTCAAACTGGTTGGAGTTCCTCTCCTGAGTGATATGCCTCAGTTTCTTATCAATCTTCTTTTCTTTTTCTTTTTCTTTTTCTTTTTTTAAAGCCAAGTAGTCCAAAATATCATCTTAGCTGCATTCTTCCATAAGTGTAGCTTCTTAGAACTCAAGAACACAATTGTACCAGCCTATAGAACAAATCCTGTTCAAGTAAGGTTGTTCCATAAGTGTAGTTTATTTTGGGTTTTTTTTTTTTTTTTATCTCTTTCTGTGGGAGTCGGTGGCAGAGAGAGCAGTATGCTCACAGTGAGGGATGAATGAAAGCGATTCTTCTTTAGATCTTGTGTTTCAGGAAGGTAGGTTGAGATTGAGCAAGTTAGTAAGGCCAAATTGTTGAAAGTGAAATTCAACTTGGGGGTGGTTGCATGAGCTAGAGATTATTTCAAAGAAATGGTACAGAAATTAGAGGAGAAAGTGTTCCTTAGAAGAAAATGAACCCTGAGGCTTTGGTTTTGGCATGGGAACCTTTCAAAGGAAAAAGAGCCTCCACCTTCGTTTCAGAGGGGAAGGATACTAGTGGTTGGTGCTCGTTTAGAGATGCTTTAGGCAACTTTTTCAAAAAGCAATATTTTGTCTCTCTCATAATTTTTTATAATTATGTTAAATGGTAACCTTTTGCCAATTCTATGACATACTGGTATTTTACATTTTTCTAGAAACTTTTTTAAAACTGTTTTTCGAGATTTTCTTCTATACATTGGGTTTGGTCTGATGTTGATGCATCATACTTTGTTTGTTTGTATGGTATTGATACAGCAGGCTCCCATGGTCAAATGGACAGAAATCTATCTTAGAACCCTTAATACTCATACTATGGATTGTTTAGTTATTCGTATGTCTAAAAGTTCCCCTAATTTGTGTGATCTCAGATTCGTCTTCACATAATTGCAATGCACGAGTTATGCGAATTCTCAAAAGGAGAAGGATTTGCTGAGGGATTTGATGCTCACCTTAACATTGAACAAATGAACAAAACATCAGTAGAATTGTTTCAAATGTATGATGATCACAGAAAGAGAGGCATTATTGTGCCCTCTGAAAAAGAATTTCGAGGTTATTATGCACTTCTCAAGCTGGACAAACATCCTGGATATAAAGTAAGTCACATGGTTGAGAAAGAAAATTCTACTATATAGATTTTGTTATGTTACAGGCTGTGGAAGTAATTCAGTTCTTGTCAGGTTGAACCTGCAGAGCTCTCACTTGATCTTGCAAAGATGACTCCTGAGATGCGACAGACTGCAGAAGTCAAATTTGCCCGTGATGTTGCCAGGTAGTTTCCTCTAAAATTCTGATGTTGCTATTTTGTTTCCTATAAAAAAAAATGTTCTTCCATTATTCTACTAAATTCATTCTAATAATCTGATAGATTTTTATCTCCAGAGCTTGTAGGACAAGTAATTTTATTGCATTCTTTCGGCTTGTGAGGAAAGCAAGTTATTTACAAGCATGCTTAATGCATGCTCACTTTGCGAAGGTACATAAGTATTCCTACTATATAATTTTTTAGAAACGCAGAGAAAATGTTCTGGAATTTTTGGTCCAAAAATATGCACGAACAATGCATTTGATGATTTGAATGCTAGTATTTTTTTCTCTTTTCTAAAATGTCTTTTTTTTTTTTTTTTTTTTTTTTTTTTTTTTTTTTTTTTTTTTTTTTTTTTTTT